CCTCTTCTCACACGGAGAAGGTTAAAGCATTAATCACCACGCTTACTCAATGCGGGTTGGCGATTACAAACTTATAATTAGAAATTATAAGCCCAGGTTTCCTCACGATGTTTTCCTTCACCGTTTATCAGTGGTGTCTGAATAATCTTAGAAAGTACATATAACTCGGAAAAAGTCACATTGGTACTTGCCGTTGCACATTTGTACATTGGTACCTTAAGTGCCGACCCCTTCGGGGATAAAAGGCGTGATGTTATGGTACTTGCCGTTGGTAGGTTTCGAACCCGCACCCTCATGCATGAGAAGCGGGCGTCTTAAACCTCCGGGCCACCACGAGATTACTCCACTCATACTTACCGATTTCGAATAAAATTCCAAAAACGATTCCTTATTCGTATACCGAAATGCGACTTACTCTAATTTAGTGTCTGGCAATTTGGAGGCGTTTCACCCCCAAGTCATAATACCCTTAGTCATTTGAGACTCCGGTCGTGTCGAATTGCCATCCCATTGAATGAAGAGTGTGAGGGAACTGAGAGTGCACCTGTATTTACACACATGATTGTTGCACTATAAATATTTGCTGTCGATTGAAAGCCGAGAGCGATTTGCCAATGATATATTATTGTGCTTATTAAATATTAAGTAGTAAAAAATATAACATGACATAACTTCACACTTTTTATCCCCGAGGGGTAGGCAGAGGTGCACATTATGGCACTTAATGCCATAGAAACCACTTGTTCCATAGAAAAGTACACATCACATAACATCACGCCTTTTATCCCCGAAGGGGTAGGCAGAGGTGCACATTACACCACAGTACAATGTAACACCCACATCTCACTATTTATGTGTCCCACGTAATAGGAGGTGAGCCTAGTGCCATATACCGGGCACATTTCCAGACTCCGTGTCACGACTGAGTATTTTTTTTAATCCCAGTAATGCTTTGCCCGACCCGGGAATCGAACCCGAGACCCCTTGCTCGGTAGTCGCTCTTGCGACCACTTGGCCAACGAGGCAGTCAATAAGTAGCAAAAAACATACCCCAAAATAACTATTAAAAACGTAAAATTACTCGTGTTCATGTAAAATGGTTTCCTTATGTTGGCGCAATATGTATGTGTCTTCTGCCATTCTCTCACATCAGAATGTCATTCCATCGAAAACTCCTTTCTTTTTGTCTAAAATCTTCTAATATGCTTCACCCAATCAATTACCAACTACAATGAGCAAAATAATTCATAAATAATTATTTTCATTTTAATTTTAATAAAACTTTTAATCACCCGATTCTCGATTAGAGCAAATCGATTCTAATCTTACTAAATCTGCCTAAACGGGACTTCATTCCTTGGTTGCTATACAAGCAATTGATTTTAATTCCATCGTAAACACCGTCACATAATCGATTCGAGTGTATCGACTGACAGAGTACGGCAGTCAGTGTGTTCTTGCCTGTTTTATTCGATTTAATGAATATTCATAAATATTTTTATAGTCTGTATCGATTTGAATATTGGAATAGTGATTTCATGAGTTTTTGTTGCTCGTTCCTTTCCTACTATGTATATTGTTGATTGATTGGTTTGAATTTGAACCACATTCTGAAAAAAAAACGATACGTCTAATGTAGAATACATCTAGCATTCGATTTCTGAAAATCATGAATCAATCCCCATCAGATAATGATGGATCGATGATGCAATTAAAATGTTTCCTACATAGTCGGCAACGTACTTGTTATTTCTTAGGTACCTACCATAGAGAAGCAGTACGTAAACTTTTTACCTTAAAAATACTCAGATATCAGAAATTAAATTAATATTAGATATTATAAAATTGTTATAAGATCACTTCATAACTGACCAAAAGTTTTGTAGTCAAACAAATTTAATTTATAGTTTTAGCTACCGGTCGCCGGTCGCCTACCCCACTGAGCTTATAGCGCGAAGGAATTGTCTACTTCCAATTAACCTCTTCTTAGGCCATAAACTCAATAATAAAAACTATTTTAATCGCCAATAAAAATATTCTTTTTCCATATTCAAAAATTCTTTTAATTGACAAGTACCAAATTATAATTGCTGCCCGAAAAATTATTATCATTCCAATTTCGACTTTAATATCTCAGTTTAAGAATCATAACTTCTTATTTTGATTGCCAAATCTCGTCAATTTGACAAAATTAATTAGGAAATTTGTTTACTGGAAATTCAACTTTGTGTATTACGTAATAAGGATAAATAGACGGTATAGTTTTAGATAGTAGGTACTGGCTTGTTGGTTTGACGTTTCCGTGGAAGCGTTTACCCCCTGTAGCGAGGAGGCAAAGGCCACGAGAGTGGGTTGGCCACGCTGTCCATAAATTGTAGGACATTACGACTATTTGAACTGTTATAACGTATTTAAGAATCAATTAAATCAATAACATTAATATTCGAATAGCATTCATAATGTCTGTCCTACTGAGATCTGTTGCCATCGATTTTTATTGAATTAATGTTCTAAGTAATCAGATTCTATGAGCTGTATGTGAAATATCAATAGAGGTTCTTGTATAAGCACAAATTATTATTTAAATGAGTATCCCTTAGTGGGATATTATTCAGAATTCAGATATCTCAATCCTTAGTATAAGAAATCTGCATAAATAACTATCCCGATTCTATTCATTCACTTTAGCACTGAAACTTAAGCCGAAACCTCGCCTCCTATAAGAGCCGTTTTAAAAATGAATTTTTCTGTCGTAAATACTTAACCCTTTTTCCATAATAATGTTTTCATTAACATTAGAAAGTGCCTGCTTAACTTGAAAGTCTTCTAAACCAGAAATAAATTATATTGCTTTAGGAAAAGTTTTAAACGTCACTTAATGACAACTATGCCTTGTTTACTTAAATTTTAGAACTAGTGTAATTAAATACTCAAAAAAAAAACAAATGAAAAATTCAAAAAAAGAACAAACTACTGGTATTAAACAGAAGCTTTTCAAATTCAAATTCCGAACGTCTCCAGTCCGCTTAGTATTTTATGGTCAAGTTGGCCACCCCGGCGTTTCGTTTCACGCAGTGAGGTTACGCTACTGTTCAACCCCCTGTTGATAGGACACACTTACCTTATAATATTTTATCTTTACGCTAATGACCGCCCGCGACTCCGTCTGCATTTAAACTGTTTAATTTTATGTATTTATGTGTTTTTGATTAAAAAGGGAGATTTAATTTTCGTTTTTTTTCTTTTTGTAATTATCGGTAAAAGTAATTATGATTATGTATAAGGATTTTATTAAATTTTGAATGACTTCAAGAAGCCATACCTAATTGGAGTTTAATACCCTCAATAAATAGGTGATTTATTTCGAAGCTTCATTTTTAAATTAATATTAATTATGTGGCAATACGAGTATTGAACAAGAAGTCTACAATTAGACAAAAATTACATTACCTTGTGTCTTTAGGCTAGATGTAGTTATGAATTCAAATGAAGTTTGAATAATAGTGGCCCTAAAATAGGAATGAATAAATACAGATCTGTGGGACGTTCGGAGAAGTTACGTTAAATAATTTGTAGTTTATCCTTAAACATATCTTGAATTTAAGTTTTCTCAATACTTAAACAAATCAACCAGCTGTAATATCTACTTAAAAGTTAAACCACATGTTTTCTACTTCACTGCAACAAAGGGATAGACAAACATTTAATAATTTAAAACATAAAAACGTTCCCTTCAAAATCTAGTAGCGTGGAATAGAACGTATATAATATTCTAAAAAAGGTTTCATACTTTTTTCTTCCTTTTTTAAACATTGTTTATGGTCTGATTGGGCCAGTATTTTTGAGGTTTTATTTGAAAAAGGGATAAGTTTTATGAAGAAGACATTGTAGAACATACTTTTTTTAAAAGAGTAACGAATGGAGTTTCTTGCTCGTTCTTCTCCATTCGAATCTACCTTTTGGAATGAGCACCTAGCTTCACCTAGTTTCACTGACGGACTGACTGACAGACTATTATTTATTTTGTATTTGTTGACGTTTCAAAAGCACCAAACTATGGTTTAATTGAAATAAATGCTTTGACTTTGACTTTGACTTTGACTTTGAAGTTTAGTTTTATGTTTTGGACACTGAATTAAGATTGATAATAAATAAGGAACTATAATTGCGAATAATTAACTAAGTATTTGGATAAAACTAACGTTAATTTTACTTAAAGAACGTAAATAGGTATGTTTTTTTCTCTGATAAGACAAAACTACTTAATAAAATCTACCGAAATGAATTTGACATTAAAATACCTGAAACCTATCAAGTTCTGTTAGCTAAATGTTAAGCAAAAACTATCCTAACTATGTACTCGATCAAAAGTATCTATTCTCATAAACAGAAGCCACAGATTATCAACGAATACAGATGAGGTTCTACAAAAAAGGCTCGTTCACAATTATGTCAAACTCAATTTGACAACTTGATGAACATGACCGTTCAGCGTTTGACATAACTTCGTGGGTGGTCCGTCCGGCATGCGTGTATTTTTTTTTATTTTTGTTTCTAAATATATTTTTATTTCGACCACCGTAGGGCGATGACTAACTGGCTTTCGATAACTAGCCACCGGCGAAGCGTTATAATTGGTTATGACATTTTGGCGTGTGGCCTTGAGAAATATTGATGAGAACTTCTCAACGTATATGCCCTGTGATACATTTTACTACAGGGACAGGAAGTCCATAGACAGATAATATTCATTCATTGGGTTTAGGTATGTTTAGGCGACTTCGCATCTTGAAAAATTTTGGGTGCCTAAAATCAATTTCCTTCCTAGGTTATCCAAGCTATGGATTGTGAAAAACTAACCAAAATCACACAACCAACCAAAGACAAAGTGAACCGTTCAAAAACGAAACCGTAAGCGCAAAATGACAGCACAAAAACTATCTCCCGCCAAAAGAACTGTCAAAGTGACATTGTGTGTGACATTACCACGAGGGTAAATAATGGTGACCCTGATGCCGTGTAGCTACCTCGGAGGGGGCGCCTCCCCACGCTGCAGCTTGGACCACGCCGAGCCAAAGGTCAGATGCATTCTGATAAGCAAACGTACGAGCCGTGAGGATTTCCATTTTCGCATAATAGATGGCGCAACTTTGACCTGAGGTCTAGATAATCGCCAGAGTCTATGGTTACGAACTTTCCAAGGTTTCGTTCAAAAACAATTATAATTTGGAAATCCTCACTGTGAATAAATGTTCAAGTAGAAAATTGAGTGCTTTAGATGTTGTATAGAAATATATTTTCAAACTCAATTTCGAACAAATTCGTACGATTTCACAGAACATTAATGGATCACGACACTTGCACTTTATGTATGAATGAACCTGCACAATGCACTGCACTGAATTAATTAGATAAGCTAGTTGTAATTAACTTTATTTGCACGGTATGGCATAATATAATGCTTATATTGCATGATAGTCTAGTCTCCTGTTTCATTTGCTTAATGTAATGGTAGTGCCCACAATCTGCGACTGAGATGAAACTATCTCCTCGTCTGTTTTGTAGCGTCTAGAAATGTTCTTCCTTTTGGAGACCAATTGGTATTGTTCTGAATTCAAGGATTCAAATTCTTGTTGTTGCTACCCAAGTTTACAAGCCAATGCATGGTCTGATCGTAAACCTTCCAGAATAACTGAATCATCAATTCCAAAGAACTCTCACGAAAGTTCGTGTTAAGAACCAATTTACCTGTTACCAAATCTATGTGACAGACATGAAGTTAAAACAATTCAAGTGACAAGACGACGAGACGAACTTTATGGCACAAGCGGCCATGATTAATATACTCGACGCGTTATCTGTCCAGCGTAACTAAAACCAAATTTTATCGTTCTCATTGTACAAAACTGTTTATGTTTTCCAAGTGGTATAGCATGGTGAGGCTTCAGATCTCATGTTACCCATTCATGGTGACCATTAAAAAGTCGTAACGTACCTACGGGACAGAGGATCGTTAGCCACCTGATACCAGGCTCTCATAACTTCGAGGCGGTATTGGCTTACATGATGGTTGATCGTTTAATTTTGGTATGCGATGAAGATTAGCGAGTAACAATGCCTAATTGCGCTGATGATTAGACTACGTGTGAATGAAATAATATCAAGGTGGAATATTGTCTCCAAAATGGACTTTGAGACTGTATTCTTAATACGTAAACAGTGACGATGATTGAGACAAAAAATCTTAGAAAAAATAATCATTTTGTTAATATTAAACGATTCAGTAAAGAGAGTAATAAATCATCAAACACGACCGGTCACAAATTACAAACCTAAGCGCATTGACCTTAGCAACCACAGAACTGAACATAACACGAAAAATAATAGAGATATTAATTTAATTCAATGGGCATTTTTAACCTATACGGTACTCATAAAATACTATAACAAAGAAACGAATAGAAGGTAAGGGAACGAAAACTAAAGCCACCCAGAGATAACAGCAATAAAAACAAATTTGTCCAAGTTGATAGCTGAACACGGCGCGATTTATCGGCCGAGATGTCTTTCTCGATACAACTTGTAAGTTCCCGCGTTTAAATCGATTGGGCTTAACTCCATTTTGTTTATGTAATCGAAAACAGACTTACTTTGTGTAAGAGCGGGTAATGTGTGGTGTTTTGGCGGGAAGGAAGCGTCCATTTTTGTGGTAGTTTGCAAATTAGTACTTCTTGAACTATAAATGCGTAAATAATTATGACTACAAATTAACAGCGTTCAAAAGGTAGACTTTTTGAACGCTGTTAATTTCAAGAATAACTTAGAAGTTACCTATAATAAATAATAATTTGTTCATCACTTTTGCCCAATCAGATGCAAACAATTCAGAAAACGGCTTAGCAATATAAAGATTCAACAAAATATTCAAATTCGTTATTGGACAAAATGTACGAAATAATTATTTAAAAACCATAAACAACGACGAAAAAATATTTAAACAATTTAAAAAAAACAACAACAGAAAAAAGTTTTCAATTAAATAAATGACAAGTGTCAAAACGATCCCCATTCTCACTTCAGACCATAAACAAATTACGCACCCAAACAATAAACAATGACAGATAAAAAATAAATCACTATTAAAATTGACAGTTCACGCGACAACTCGAAAAAGTCGAAGATCTTATTAATAATCGCCAATATCACATGTTATTATCAAAGATAAAACATAAAATTGGTCGGTCGATAAATTTTATAATTTATATGTTACGACGCGGGAGCGAGACGATACATCCCCGATCGTAAATATGCAGTCAGATAAAACAATAAACGAATTACGTTTAAATAAAGAAGCGTTTTGTTCTGACGCTTGTTTAGAACACAGCGTGTTCTCGTTTTGAATTTGGATTTCTTTTTTATAATTACATATTTAGTAGCTTGAAGAAGGTTGCATGGAAATTAGTTTTTGTTATGGCTTTTTATATGGTGGCTTAAAATCTATATATATAAAAGAAAGTCGTGTTAGTTACGCCATTTATAACTCAAGAACGACAGAATAGATTTGGTTGGAAATTGGTAGGGAGGTAGCTTAGAGCCAGGAGACCGACATAGGATACTTTTTGACAAATTTTTTTTTACTTTTTACCGAAAATCACGAGCGGGGACGGGAAAAAATGGGATTACGCGTACAAAGTCGCGGGCAGAAGCTAGTTACTTATAAAACAAATCTGCCCTTTCCATAAAAAAAAAACAAATGTTGCAATTAAAATTTAACACTTCCTTGATTGATAATATACGCACTATGGTACTCAAGTTATTACTATCCTACACAGGTAAATGCATAAATAAGTATTAGCATAAATAAAGTTAATGACAGTCACTATCATAAACACCATCTTATCGCACTTACTGATTTGATTGACGACAATTATTTTGCTTACTGCACTTTAATTTATTCATAAAATATAATATTCAATAGCTGCGCAATTATTCATAAAATGTCCATAATGTAAATTAATAATATTAATCAATTTAAAACATCTGTCAAAACAGAAGTCAAATTATGTTGATGCAATAGAGATTAATAATAAAATTAGAAGAAACAACATATTAGCATTAAATAAATCTGCAATCATGAAAAAAATATAGAGTTAAAACGAGCAAAATTGTAAAATATTAACATCTCGTAATAAAATAATTCAAAATGACACAGCCTGTATTCAACCGCCCGTTCAGGCGCGTTGTCGCCGCGTAAAACGTATAAATTAGCCCGAGTTATCGGGAGATCGGGCGGCCTCACACCTCGAGAGGAATGCGCCCGGTGATTTACGTCCTTTCTCACACGATACCTCCTTCGGATCACTGTGGTCCTGGTAGCGAGCTTGAGGGATGAGACGGTCATTAGGAGATGTTTTGGTATTTTGTTAGTATACTTTATGGAAAGTTCGAAAAATCTGTAGGACTTGTAGAAATGTTCGATTTAATGAATTAGAAAAAATCAACAAAATTACCTACTTTATCATAGTTACGACATTTCAAGAGGAATGCGCATATTTCTCACACGACACGTCCTCCACGATTCCTCTTTCGGATCACTGTAGCCCTGATAGCGTGCGTGATCTGATACGGTCATCAGTTTTTGGATATTTTTATAATAATACACAGAAAAATTTCAGAACCCCTGTATCTAGAAAAAAAACATAGAATTTACTGTATCGACCAGTAGTAGAATTTATTTTTGCTTGCACTAAATGGTAACATTCAGAAAAAATCTTGATAATTATAGAAAACGTAATTGTTAGATATGAAGCCTACCAGAACCTACTCCTAAAATATTCTAAATTATCCCCAAAATAGCAATAAAATAAATAAATAATACCTAATTATTATCTATACTAATATTATAAACCTGAAGAGTTTGTTTTTTTTGTTTGTTTGTTTGAACGCGCTAATCTCCGTAATTACAAGTCTGATTTTAATAATTATTTTTGTGCTGGATAGCGTATTTATCGAGAATGGCTATAGGCTATAAAACATTACGCTACGACCAAAAGGAGCTGAGCAGAGCGTGTGAAACCGCGAGGAAGTAGCTAGTGTAATTTATACTTTTTTAATTGTAGTGTGTAGGTACCTTAGATACCTAGGTACCTTCTTTACATCGTAAAAAATTATTAGACGTATTGTAATAAAAAAAATGTATGACAAGGGCACGGACCAATAGTCCGCGGAGAATTATAATAATCTGCAACATTATAAAAAAAAAATATCCCCAAAAATAGGAAACGAATCAAAATAAAGCACCCATGCCCATAGCCTAACCCGATAATTGGTGACGTCACATCACCCGGTTTTCGGTCCACTACAGCATTTTATTAATGTTGTTAAGTTAATCTTGATCGAACGAGGTGACAGTTAAGACTCTTATTATTTATAACTAAAAGTTATCTCAAATCTCGGTTAGTTTTAACTTCTACACCATTATGTTACGTTAACCGTTTCATTGGTAGTTAGATCTGAGTTATTTATGTAGTTATTGGTTGCAGTTAATAGTTATTGATAACAAAAATATGGTTTAATATATTTAAGTTACATGATTAGAAGCCCTTGAGTATATAATGGCAGTCAATTTTATAACTTATATTTTTTAGATCTTCTATAAATATATTATTAAGTATCTCAAATACAAATTTTAGTTCTATTCTGGTATACATTTATATCAAAACATTTATTTATTTATTATATGTTTTGGGCTTTCTCACGTAATTCCGCCACCCGCGACGTAACGACTGTCGCGCTGCTCATGAATATAAGCCTCTAGCATGTCTTGAAACTATGTAGTCAAGTTTTTAGTGAAATAAATGGGTGTTGTAGCGGAGAACCTAACGGGTAACCGGGGCTCCAGCTCGAAGCGGAGAAGGAACGGGGTGGTTTTTAGTCAGTAAGAGTCTGACACCCGCTTGGCATTGCTCCCTGGGTTGACCTGGGTTGGCTTGACACCCGCCTGGGTGAGGTGGGATCCCTCCCACCTCACCCAGGCGGGAGCAGTCATTCGATGATTTTCCCCAATTAAAAAAAAAGTGCAATAATTGAGTACTTGCCAACAAGTCAAATTCAATACTTTTTTCGACCTGTCAAAAACGATTGTTTTGTAAGAATTTTGTACAAGATTGTGTATTGTGACATCACCTTTTTAGGATCAAAAGCATACTCATTTCTTTAAAAAATGTGCTGAAAAAATACTAAAATCAATTTGGTCGTAAAATTAATTAATGAAAGTGTGACTATCTTTTAATATTTTACTGTATTTTGAACAGTCGAAATAATTTATTTTTGAATAAGGAAAGTACCCAATTACGCGAGTAAGCTGAAAACCATAATAATTAATTTAATATGTCTCACAAGAGTTATATATAACATTTATTTATTTACCATTTTCTTTTAAACAGTTGTACTCTGTACTGTACCACACTCGTATTTTATTCTGCTCTTCTATCTCCATATCCATTAATAATATATAGCAATCTAGATGTAAAATAGTCTTATCTTTAAACTACGTGACCTAGGTTCACTATCTGAATATCATCTTATTAATATGTAATAATAAACATAATTGTCAACAATAAACAAATTAAACAGAACAAAACTAATAATATGTTGACCTAGGCAGATCAAGGCTTTCATTATGTCAATTTATATTATGTCTATTTGTTTATTTATTTACTAATACAATAATAATAATTAACAATTTTTATTCACATAAAATTCGCTTGTTTTGAGAGGTTGTAAATGCGGCTATCGACTGTAAGGTGCCTTTTTTAAGGAGGAAAATCAGCCAATAACTACTCTTGCCTTGGGTGAGATGAGTGGGAATGTCACCCAACCACCCCATTCCGACTCCTGCTTTGAACCGGAGCACTAGACAACCATTAGGTTGTCCACAGCTATTGTGAGGTGTCTGAGTTTTAAATGCGGATTGATTAATAGAAACAATAATTCGAACATAGAAAGCCTAGAATCCTAAAATACTAGACTGATCTCTACTTCCCTCCTTCCTTCCTTGTTAATTTGCAGTCGGAATTTAATACTTCTAAGGGTTAAGCGCCTATCCTAGTGTGGGGCAATTTGTGGATCACACAAAGTGTTGTTCCGTGCGGGAATCGAACCCGCGACACGTTGCACGGCAGCCGGTTGCCCAGCCACCGCACCGTAGGGCCTTTACAATTCATCCCTTACAGGTCTCCAGAGGATTTTCATTTTAGCCTTTTCAATCATGATTAACTCATTTATTAAGTGCATTGCTACAATGTTTGGATGGTTGTTGAGCCTTCTTCTGTAGGCTATCATAGACTGTTTTATCTCTTCTTTCCGTGGGTGGACCGTTCTGATTTTAAGGTCATGGTGTAATTGTGGGTTAGTTATAAACCAAGGAGCATTAGTAATTATCCTTAGCATTTTGGCCGCGGTCCCGCAGCTGCGACGCGTTGCACCCGCGCGCGCTCTGCAATCGGTTGGCGGGCGATCGCAATGGGAGGGCCGGTCTAGAACTTAACTGATTGTTTAACCGCCCTTGTGATAATCAACCGCCAAGTTTGCGGGCGATAATCGCAACCGCGGCGGCTGAGAGATCGCCACCGCGGCGTGCGAGTGAAAATCGCGCCGTGAATCTGTAGCGTAATTGTTCGTGTCTGTTTTAACTATTAAAAACATTGTTGTTTGTTATTGGTAGGTATTGTAACTCTAGTGTTGTAGGTGTCCATGGGTAGCGCTGATCGTTTACCATCAAGTGATTCATCGGCTCTTTTGCCTCCTATTCTATAAAAAACACACAGCCGAACAAAGACCTCCAACTTCACGGTTAAGATTATCTAACTAAATTAGTTTAATTTCATATTAATGTACAGTTTGCGATAAGAAGCATCACTGATGGTATCATCTAAATGTCAATGTAATCATTTTAAATGATTTTGTATATAATGGCGAGGAATGCATTATAATACCAGCCGGTGTAGGTCAGGTTTTTATTTACATTTATTCAATATTAATATACGTTTGAAATTAAATAATATGTTGCAATATGAAACAATAAATTAGTGGAAACAAGAAAAATGAAAAATGTTAAATAAGTGTGGAAGAGCCATGCTTCGGCACGTATGGGCCGGCTCGACCGGAGTGATACCACGGCCTCACAGAGAACCGACGTGAAGCAACGCTGTGTTTCGTCATGTGAGTGAGGTAACAGGAGGCCCAATTACCCTCCCCTTCCCCAATCTCCCCAATCCCTGAATCTCCAACGATTCTCAAACTCCTAATCCCCAAAAAGCCGGTAACGCACTTGTAACGCCTCTGGTGTTCCAAGTGTCCATGGGCGACGCCGATTGCTTACCATCAGGTGATCCGAAAAAATTAAAAAATGTTGTGATGCTACTAACTACACTATTATTTCTTAACTTACATTTTCTCCTGCGTCATAGATTCGTTTCCAAAATACAAACACTGGATCACTCATCACACCTATCGCGTCCAGACTCGGCACAGACGGCACAACAATTTCCAGATCATGTAAAGAGTTTACACCACGCATCTGATTACCCAGCCGGTATTACAGGCCCAAAACACTTACTTTTTTATTGATCACCAGGGAAACTTTCAAAAGATGTCCTATTTTTTGGCAAATTTCAAAAGATGTCCTATTATTCCTACCCTTATTCCTACCTGCCTTAATCTTACACCCGAGACAACCGAGTTGATTTTAGTGACGTCACTAAAACCAACCCGGTTGTCTCCATCATCATCTATCAGGGAGCACCGCGTCCCCTATATAGACTCCGAACCGAAGTAACCACTGTGCAATACCTGTTACGCTGCACCCCTAGAGTTTTTTTTAAGGTGGGAAAATCATCGAATGGCTTCTCCCGATCCATAGGCTAGGGTTGCCTAACATGTGCCTGTTTCCCTTCCATTGCAAATAAGTAATTTAACTTAGTCCATTATTACATTTCTAAGTGAACTAAACCAGACTGAATAAAAACAAATAAATCTAGTTCAAGGTCGCACAATTCGAATTTTGAATCCAATTAAGAAAAATAAACTTTAGATAAAGCCTAATTTATGAGGTTACACAGATAAATAAGATTATCAGAGATCGACATCTTTTTATTATCTATAGCCTTCCTCATCAATGGTAATTAAAAATTCAAGTAGCACAGATAACTGATTGCGATAAATGATTCATTATCATCTCAAGTAGATCATGTTGCGTCATTTTGGAAGATAACAGATTTTGAAATATTTTTGGAATAAATTAGATGTTTCTAAAAATAAAGAAAACATAATATTAGGCCTTTATTCTCCGCAGCTCAGAGAAGCATATAAAAACGTGCTTAGGTAACACTATATTTAATTTCATTTAGTAACTTTTTAATATGATATGGCTCGTTCTTCTCCATAGGAATTTACACTTTGCAACGAGAGCAAATAGCTTCACTAGAGGACTGTAGGACTGACATTTTTTCTTATTATTTAATATTTAAATATTTTGTTTGGATGTTCAAAAGTGCCTTCCTGGTCTAATTGAAATAAATGACTCGGCAAACTAGCAGACGGATCACCTGACAGTAAGCAATCAACGCCGCCGATGGACACCCGAAACACTAGAAAGTTACAAGTGCGTTACCGTCCTTTTGCCGGTAGGGGTTTAGGGATTTGAGGTCGATAGGTGTGCGGTTTAGGGAGATTGGAATTTTTGCGTTAAAGAGCAACAAACATATATACAAAGTCAAAGTCAAAGCATTTATTTCAATTAAACCGTAATTTGGTACTTTTGAAACGTCAAAAATTACATAATAAATAATAGTTTGTCAATCAGTCCGTCAGTGAACTAGGTGAAGCTATGTGCTCATCCCAAAATGTAGATTCAAATGGAGAAGAACGAGCTAGAAACTCCAATCGTTACTCTTTTTAAAAATGTATGATCTACAATGTCTCTGATACATATTCCTACTTATATGCATCCTCAAAGACTTTCACATTCATAAATGTCATAAATAAAGTCTTTGTAATCGCAAAACAAAAATGTTAAACTATTGTCTATGTGTTGTTAATTCTCATTCGGACATTCTACCTTTGTCCCTGATCATGAAGTCATGACACATGTATGTCTAAATTCGTTCACTTCACATCCCGGTGACATCGGCAGTGGACAATAATGACCATTCTTTGTTCCGTACAATGTGCTTCCGAGAAGGGCAAGAGATGTTTGGGAAAAAATGTCGCTAAATACAAACGAGTGGATGTAACTGCTTCTATTAATGGGCTGGTAGTAAATTTGATGTAGTAGTGGTTTGATTGTGTAGATAATTATTTGGAAGTGTAATTAAATTTACTCTTCTCTTTACTTTAAATCTTGTTTTTTGGAAACAAGAACTATTATGGTAGGTACCTATTTCAAAACCGCATCATTTTCGAACTATCTTTAGGCCTGAGTACCAGGACGACATAAACATAAGTAGGTTGTATCATCCACAGTTTTTAGTTTTAGTATGATCAGAATACTACTTTTGCACCAAACGCGAATATCTGATTTTCCATCATTTCGTGTCGAGTTCACTAGATGCTTAGCACGCTTTGCACTTTGCATGAGATCTTTACTGTTTAATTTAACACCAAGATGTTCTTAGCCTTATTTCCGTCTATGTTTGTTACAGGCAAAAAGGCCAAGACCTGACACGGGCACCGATGTATCGGATCGGTAAGTAACAACGTTTTATAGATTTCAATTAACTAATTCTGTTTATGTTTGACTGGCACTATGCACGATACGTGGTAGCAAGGTGGTAATGAATATGAAAGTTCGGATACGGATATAGAAATGATTATTATACTGAATACGGTTACAGATACGGATATGAAATTATTTCGGATTATCCGTTAGTTTCGGATAATTTCGCTTATGGATATTAACATTTTAAGGAATTTTAAAAGTAAAATACAAGTAGCTAATATAATGGTTTCATTTATACGTCACGCCCTTATCCGATAGTATCTGAAACTTCTTTTTCGAATTCGGTTACGTTTACGAATATTTTTTTTCGGATATCCGATAGTTTCGGTTACGGTAACAGAGATCCCTAACATCCCTCCATGGTAGTAACTGCGACCCACTTAGCAAAGTCTAGATTTCGATCCCCTGATAAATAATGGGGTTTCTCGCTGAGACCTATGATTTCATCTCACTTTATACATTATACTTATTAATCTTTTGATAAATTGCACTGTACCATAAACTATAAACATGAAGTTATGATTGTTAGGTGCATTTAGCCGCGCTTTGCAACCAATTTAAAACTATTTTTCTCTGTTCATTGTCTCCGCCTCTTTCTAACTTACTGGTATATTATAAGGGTGAATTGTGTATTATATTAGCTAATCAATGAACAATGTTACGGCTATTTTTATTCGAGGGGTTGCAGTCGGCAGAAATTAGGTCACTTTATAATAATAACTTAATTCGATGTAGGTAATTGGAACAAAGCCAATCAACATTGGGATCATTCTGGCTAGTTTTAATTCTCTTATAAAAACGAATCAGCGGTTTTTGAAGTCAATCTCACTAGATATACCTTTCCACAAACAATATTTGCTTTCGTAAATATTTTTCAAAATAGATTAACTCGTCGAGTACCGGTTTTATAGACACAATTAAAGAACAATAGGTCGCGGTCACCGGTGACCGCTTGGTGTTTGACGGATTAATAGCACCAGGTACAATAACAAATTGAATTTTACTTTCACCCCTATACCTAAGACCTCTCTGTCTGTCCACTAGCAAAACACTCAACAGTTTAATCAAACGCATACATACTAGGGTATCAGCATTCAACAAGCACTCAACTCCACTCATGCTACAAAATTAAAGTTTACACCAAAATAGAGGCTCGTGACCGTCACAGCTCTTCAAAACACAATGCGAAGGGTTCTTAATCCTCTGTAATCCTGGTATTGTAAGCGCACAATTGCCGGGAAAAGAGCTACTTAATAAAACTACTGCACGCCCCCTGTCCATATTATCACGCCGTCATCAAAGGAAGCTGGCACACAATAAGGTTTTATGTTACATTACGAATTTCTATCTTTAAATAGATTTTTGAGATTTTTTTGCAATCGGACTGATCTGATCTGATTGTTGGTTTTTTTGGGTTAAGCTGGTGCTGATCGTAGTAGGTATAGAAGCTGCTTTTTGTTTTATCATAATCATGTTTCATAAAACACGGGACTTTTAATTCGTTTTCAAGGTCTAGTAAATCTTCATCATCATTAGCCTGTATTCGTCCACTGCTAGACATTGGTCTCTCCAATAGCACGCCACTGAGTTCGGTCTTCAGCTCCTCTCATCCAACCACTGCCAGCCATCTTGCGAATGTCGTTACTCCTCCTAGCTGGAGGGCGCCCTACACTACTACGTTTGCCTAGACGCGGTCTGCACTTTAGAACACGTTTACCCCAACGGTTATCGGTTCTTCGACAAATGTGACCGGCACTCTGCCACTTCAGCTTACTAATCCAAAGTCCAAGAGATCCAAGGCTATGTCGATAACTTTGGTTCTCTGTCGGATCACTTCATTTCGGATTCGATCCTTTAAAGAGACTCCGAGCACAGCTCTCTCCATAGCTCGCTGCGTGACCTTAATAAATCCATAAATTGCAGTATTAAATCTTAGTCTGACGTAAATAAAATATTCATCTGCTAAAAAAGACTGAAAAAATAGCAAAAGATTATTGAAAATTGTTTCTAAGAGGTCTTTTCTGTCCTTTGCGAAATGCTAACTAATCTGTCTATCCAAAGTCAGGTCAAGAGCAAGAGTTTTTCTAATTACAAAAATATAAATAATATTAACAAAACAAAAAATTAGTCAAGAGCAAATAGATTAGTTGACAATACTAACTTACGTTGTTTTTATTCTCGTGTCACCTCAACGTAATTTATGATCGTACTCGCTGACATGTTGAATTGTTGGACACGACAAGCTTTCTGCTTTCACAAAAAATAACATGGCGATAGCGGGCATTTACACAAATTAATTCGTTTAATAGAAATAATTAATCTTCATAAACCTACTGTTTATTCAAATGTATTTTGATTTTTAATTCCATGTACAGAAAACAATATTTTATAAATCGAAAACACAGAAAAAATGCGTTTCGAAAATTTCTTTGCGGCGCGAACGTTTAAAAAAAGAACAGCGTTTGGCATTTGACGGGCGCATTCCGTTTTAGCCAGCATATTAGTTAGGTTAATTAGTAGTTAACATGACATTCCTAACTTTTTAAACGTTCTTCGCCATTGGTTCAAAATAAAATAATGAATGGTAGAAAATAATGATCCGAAGTGTGTTTTGAGCGATATAAATCAATTTTTTGACGCGATTCCGTTACGTTATGCGTTATATTTTTTTACTTACGTCAAGCAGGATCTGAAGTATCGTATGTCTTGAGTGCCGAGTCTGTTGATGTTTTGTTGTTATTTTTTTATTTATATCCTCCCGTACGTTCAAATATGAATGGAACTCATTCTATTTCTTCAAATGTTTTTAAAAAGATAACAATTTTGACGTTTATTTTTTGTGTAGCGCTTCAGTATTTTTTTGAGTTCGCGTCATTCTGTGTTTTAATGTTAAATTATATGGATTTTAAATTAATTCCCTATCTGTTTTCGATTATTAATAGTTAACAATAGTCAACAAAGAATCTATTATACACACATTACTAATTTTTTTTTCTTTACATTATCGATATTAATTTATTTTAACTTCTTGTCTATATTTTTCAGTACTGCCAATATTAAGTCACTTAAAACATAAATTACATTTCATTTATTCAAATAGGTATCTACTTAATCATCATACACTCACAAACATTAAACAGAACTAAACCCAATTTCTAGTAGCAGTAATAAATTAAAATATATATTTTTAACCCTTACATTACTCATTTCAGACATCTGTAAGTTTTTTTCGTAACAAAAAAATTTGGCAGATGACAAAAAATGCAATTAATAGATTTTTAACGCTAAGTTGACACGTGGCGACCAAATGGCGGGAAGGACCACCGATTTCGGGATCCTTAGTGATTATAATGATTGTTTTGGTTTAGAAATATGTACTTCTAGATAAGGATCATCATAAGCCCGTTTTCATCTTCTGTAAGAGAGTGGCACGCTACTGAACTTGGTCTTCAACTCCTTGTGTCCATCTGTTCTCAACCACTTTTTAGTTATCGTCACTGAACCTAGTTAATAAAAAGGGTTTTTTAAGGGGGGGAAAGTCATCAAATGTCTGCTCCCGCCTGGGTGAGGCGGGAGGGAGTGTCAGACTCTTACTGACTAAAAACCACCCCGTTCCTTCTCCTGCACGTCGAGCTGGAGCCCCGGTAACCCGTTAGGTTCTCCGCGACTAATAAAAGGGTTAGGTTTACCTAAGTAGAGTTTAACAAGCTTCAACAGTCATCAGTTATTAGTAAGAGAGTTATCGTCATCTAACACAAATAACTATCAAATCAATCTAATAATAGGTACCTAACTCATTTTCATAATAGGTCAGTAGCACGTGGTAACAGTTACACTTTTATTTGTACCGACCTGTCACCAGCTACCTATACCGAATTCTGTTTTTTAAACAAATCGTCCTTATCGTTTTGTCATAAAGTCTAAAATCTGTTTTAAACATACAGATTGGGGTATCTTGGAGTGCCATGAGTACCAGGGCACCATCAAGAACAAAGAGTCTCTTCACGAAGTGCGCCGTATTTTGTTCCTGTCAAAGGGCACTGAGGGTTTATTGTTTCGCTCTTAAAGTAAAGTTTATGCTTCAGAATTTGTTATTACACTATATAAACACGTGCCTTTTTAATTTAGTGAGCTGTTGTACTGTGTGGACTTTTATTGTCTTTGTTGTGTGGGTTTTAAATGGTACGAGCTGTGAAATTAAAGGATTTGCTCGTCGTAAGTACTTAGACAGAATTATAACCCTTCGATACTGTAATATGTAGATACTGGGCCAAATTACTTTTTAAACAATCAGTGGTCTGAAAAAATAAAACGTAGTAAATTATAAACAAATATAAGGTGCTCTATAATTATTAGCCTCGGCTTTAATGGGAGGTAGTGTTATGTTTACAGATTACAATTGTGAAGAAATTTCGTGCCCCGGACCAGTTAATTACGTACAGTAATTAAGTAAACATTGACTACATTCTGCATAATGTGGTTCACAAATTACGCGCGATGCGTCGCTTAGTCAATGAAAACAATTGCTATCTCTTTCCACGTGTACTGAGAATGAAAACGGAAATCAGCTGACTAGTTCGTCACTATCTAATCTACTAGATACTCAATAGGCAGGCTAACAAGGGTTTTAAAAGTGCAATTACTTACCAGGTACGGCATTCTTCCGAAAAGCTGATGTAGGTAAATAAGATTATAAACTTCCCATCACACTTAAAACAGTCTTTTACACACTTTTACAGTTATTTACACACTCTCTACCTACTTATCTACAAAACTGTTGCACAAGTCCACCTTCGCGTTGCACACAAATGAAGGCACGCTTCCAAACATGTCATATCACATTATTTAACGTGTCCGTTTCACTTTTACTTTATTTCGCGTTTGATTTAAAAGACGCCACAAGTTATTGTCTCTATCATCGTACACTCCGGCGGTATCCCTTGTGCTCGCAAGTGGATGACACCGAA